ACCGTTGCCCAGCTTCCTGAAGCGGGTGTTCTATTGAAAGAATACCGGCTTCACTTCCTTCGTGACACTGCGAGGCAGAATGGCTTCCTGACCAATCGGGAGGTGGGTCATGACGTGCCGCTTGGCTTCCTGATTGGCTAAGAAGCCGGCTTCACTTATTGCTAGGCAGCCTGGCTTACTGATTGGCCGAGAAGCCGGCTTCATGCTCCCTCACGGCACTGAAGTTCTGCTATTGGGTGTAAGTATCGGAGCATCTGGGCAAGTACGAGTACTCATCATCAGCACTGATACCTATACTAGTATTGGTATCGGTGCATTCCTACCTTCAAAGGGTGTCGTGACTGCAAAAAGGTTAGGAAACACTGATCTAAGTAACCTTGGAATTTTGTTGTGTATGCTAGGGTCTTTTTTTGTGTGAATGGTGTGGTCTTCTCCCATTGGAGGCGTGCAATTGCAATCTCACAATGCACTACTGGAGTTAACTCATGTCATTATGGCTGAAGTTTAATATGCTTCTATTTTGCCTTCCCTGGTTTCTTTCTTTTCACCCTCATCAACATGTCAAAGGAATGTTTAAATATGTTTTCTGTTATCATTACAGACTAGATTTTAGTCATCACTGAGTCTGCGTGCTTCTCTATGCATTGCAGGCAGATCATGGCTCTTCAGAGGGGCTGGCATGGTGCTGAATTTAGCTTCCTGAAACACTACAGTAAGGCCCAAATGTGATGCTGGGCCCCTATGACTCCTTATGTGATGCTGAGCCTCTATTAAAGAACTAAAATCCAATGAAAGAAAGGGGCAGGCCAGAGACAGCAAGGCTGGAGAGGAGTGATTGTGGACATTCTCTAGCCAGGAAATGTGGAAGGCTCTGTCTGACCCTTCTGCGTTTTCTAATGCACACTATGAGAAGTTCACTGTGTTCAGTAAATTTAGAGTAGGCAATGTTCGACTAGAGAGGAATCTGTAGTAAGACTGGAATTCAGCTTTAACACACAGTTAATTTTTCAAACACTTTGGGACATTCGGTGTATACTTCCCTTTAGTGCATTTCCCACGGGGCTGAGCGAGGCAAATTTAGCCGTAAATGGCTGGCTTAAGTTATTAGTCTTGCTGTGATGCATTAATATAGAGTAATAGTTAGGCAGGTAAGCTATTTTTGCAGAAGATAGTCTGTATGTCTTGAAAAAGCTTCTCTTCTGCTGGACAGCAATATGTATGTTCTCGGTATGCCTTGGCGCCAGAACATATTAACCCCTGTGCACACATGGGAGTCACGTCATCCTTGGCCGGTCATTCAAAGTATGTCCAAAGAATGTCAGCGGCAATGGATCAACTAGGGAGATCATGGTTGCTGTAGGGTCCCCTTTGGCAGGTAAGTCTGCCATAATGTGCAAATATGCTGAGCTCACTTGCACATTAGGGCTAAAAGCCAACCACAATGATGCTGATTTAGCTCCACATAAACTCTGATGCTCCTTTTTCATCACGTAGCCAAGTGCCTAGGCTTTTAGACATGCCCACCAACACTGAGGCCCTGTTCACACAGGGGTGTAGCAGGAACGCGCGTTCCAACACTATGTGGGACTTTGTTTCCCATATTGGCACACATCCCCATTGGGTCCCTGGACAATGTGGCAACTGTGGAAAAGAAGTTGTTGTAAATTTGGCATCATGCGTTCTGCGTTTTTTCCCTGTGTGTTAATGCACATTCCTATGCGTGTGAATGCACGGAAAAAAGTGTGTTTGCTTGGCCACGTTTGGGGTACTATTACCTTTTTAAAGGCAACACAGGTGTGTTCCGCATTTGTGCAAGTATCATGAACGCCTGTTGAAGCGTGCATGTTTGATGCACATTCCCAATACTCCCTGGTGTGAACGGGTTGCAACATTTTCTCCAGGAAAGGGAAGCATTTTGATACTCTACCCATCTCAGCAAGACTATTAACATAGCTTTATGTCAACAGTGAGGATTGTTCAAAGTGGTGGGTATAGTAAAGAAAACAACTGAAATCTGAGCGTTCAATAAACTGAGGTGTGCTGTGTTTACATGTGGGCTGTGTAAAGCAAAATAATGGTGTATTGTGGTAGGATGTTATACAGACAAGATCAGGCACAACATTCTCCATGAGAATCCTGCCCAAAGGATCCTTTTTTGGAGAAGGGAAATCCAGTTACTGTTCTGTTCCATACAATGGCACTGTTTCTGTCCCCTGGACTGGAGTAGACCTAAATCTTGTTCTGAATATATGTTTCCTTTCCTGTATGTTTCTCTAATGATGTCATCTTGGCTGTCATCTGTGACCTGACCCTGTCTCTGTGCCTCTAAACAATTCATTAAAGTGATATCATCCTTTCATGAATGAAAGATTAAAATGCAGAGCGGAGTGAGAGAGTTGGCTATGAAATAGTGGTATTCTTTTTTTTTTTAGTTTATTGCCAGAAAAAAACATTGTAGCATCTTTTCCTGTTATAAATACATAAAACAAAAAAGGATCAACGTAGGTTTCTGTGATGCATGGCGGGGTGGTGATGCTGAAATATCACCATCCTTATGAAATTTTTCTGTTCTAGAAGACTCCCTATTCCTGTTTGGATGGATTCTGTGTCTGTATAAAGTAGAATGAATGTGGAGAAGTCCAGTCTATACAAGCACCTTGCTGTTTTTCTAGTGTATTATAGCAGAGCTGTTCAGATCTCTAAATATAGCCTATTAACTAATTTTCTCAGTTGATGAAGCAGGAAGAGCTGCTGATATGCAGCTTTGCACAAATTAAAAGCCAAACACTTAGCCCCCCATTCACACCTGTGCGATGTGACATCACACGTACGGTGCAGCACATTTTTGTTGCATTGCGGCAGGGCAACCTATTCATTCGAATGGGCAGCCTACCGCATCTAAATTGCACTCAAAAAGTGGGCTGCCTTCACATCTATATCACACTAAAAGAAGTGCAGGACCCTTTTTTTAATTGCATCAGACCACAACACACGTGACGGCTATGTGTGTTGGGGTGCCATTAACAAACAATGGCACCACAGCGCACTTTACAGTGTCACACGCCATTTCGCAGCTGTTCCTGCATTCACAGATGTGAATCAGGGGGTTTGAATAATGACTTGGCCTGTGCCTTTCATGTGGTAAAGGAAATCCTTTGCTGACCTTTTGAAAAATGCTAGTTTCCTGGCTGTCTCTGCCCTTTCTACTTTAAAATCACCGGGTCATAAAAAAAAATGACCCGGAAGAGGCATAAAAGCTAGTATAATCACTGGAGTCAAAGCTTTCTCAATTAGTAAACTAGAATTTTCAAAATAGAGTTCAGCAATGGCAGACTATCATTTCAATACATACATACATACATTTGTATATATAAATATATACAAATCCAAAGTAGGTAGAGAGGCCTTGCTGCGCAGATAAGTCAAATCATCAGCATTTTATTGTTAATGTTTCGATGGAGCTCAGTCTAAGTTGATTAAGATGGGCAGAGCTCCATTGAAACGTTAACAATAAAATGCTGATGCTTTGACTTATCTTTGCTCCAAGACCCGTAAGTGCTTCTATACGTACTTTGGATTTGTATGGATATTTTTGTGGATGGGTACTTGGGCATTTACCTTACAAATAGAGTGTGGGGACCCCTGGGATTGTTAAATAACTATATATTTATACACAGAGACATCCTGGTGCAAAACAGAGAAATCTCGATCTTCATAGGGACTCAAAATGACCCCTAGTGACCAGCTTCAAATTCTAGGCCTGACCCTCTCATTTGTGTTGTAACCAGTGGGGTGTGAAGGTTAAGTGGCGCTGAATGGAAAAGGGTGGGTTGCATTGTACTGAAGTGGTGAAGTGAGGTGAGACAGAATGGCACCCAGGGGCCTGGACTTCTGTTGCTTGCAAGATGCTCTTGTGCTATTTGACAGGATGTGGAAGGTCAGCATTCAACTCATGAACTTTATAGTCGTGTCGTTGTCCCCTTCCTGCACCTAATGAATCTTTCTCGCTTTGTATGAATTTGCTAAAACAGGGAAACTAAAAAACTCAAATCTGTTTTCTTTGTGTATTATGCTTATCCTCAACAAATACTTTGATAGAGATTTTTGTGTTCTGCCTTGTGCAGATTGCAAGGAAACAAGCCTGTCCTGTTTACCAAAGCAAGCACAGCTAGTAGTAGTAGTTTTTCTTTAATAATTCAATTCTAGATCTGGCAGTGCTTATTGTAGCAATCTGTGAACTGGTGTAGCATCTAATATCAGTAATGTTTTGAATTGGAGAACAGGTTTTCAGGTTCTTGACACACCATCCCTAAAATAAAATCTGTTACATATAAACAGGCTATGGGGCTGATTTCTGTCAATTTGAGCCAAGAAAAATGTGATAGTAGCCTGTTGCTTGAATTTTTAGAACCATAATCTGGCCAGGAATTTCAGCTGATTCCTGCTGAATCATCCAAAACTAGAGTGGTGGGAAGCCCTGCTAGCATCACCTGGCTTCGGGAACATTGATTTAAAAATCAAATGAGCCGGATGGAAAATTCTTGGCTGAACGACGACTGCATCCTATAAGATGCAGTCACTGTTTGTGACTCACGACTTGTAATTAGGGAGCCGCAGCACAGATGGGTGCCTGAATACAATGGCTGGCAGTAGAGTTTTGTGTGGATGGTTTAGTCGTTTGATTTCTATAGTTTTTCCCGCAGGCTATATGAGAGACGTCCGAGCAGTCTATTGCAGCATTAGTGCTTTTCACAATGACAATGTAAATAACCTGTAAATGACTATATTAGTGTCTATTATTTCTGTTTCTTAAAATTGTCCATATAGTTCTATACCTCTGTAGTACAAGTTGTATTCTGATGCTTTATCTGGGTTGCAGAAAAAAAAATGCTATTTGAGAAATGGGCAATGCATCATAGCTCTTGTAACCATATCTGAGGACCATTATTTATTGCAGAGCACCATTACCATCACTTAGTTTATTTTGTCTTCTTTTTAAGGTTTTCCAGAAGGAAAAGGTAGACTATGTTCAACTGAAGCTGCAGCAAGTGAATGGTCTTGGCCAAGGTCTGATTCAAAGTGCAGACAAAAACTGTGATGTACATGGATTAGAACATGACACTGAAGAACTGAACACCAGATGGAACACACTAAACAAAAAGGTGAGCATATATGTACTGTGTGTTTGTGGCATTGTGTGAATCAGCGGGAGGAAAATGAAAATTGCAAGCAGCACATAATATTTCTCTGTTCTGACAGCCGATCTTAGCAGAAATAAAGTTGACACCTTATATTGCACAGAGATGTGGTGGGAGGATTTAGATTTAATTTCCAGTGAGATAGACAGTGTGTGGGTGTTAGAGATGAGACCATCTGACTTGTACAGCTTGAGACTGCTTTTCCAAACCGCCTGCTAAATCACATTCATGTATAAAAAAAATGCCAGACCCCTTCCCCACCCTATATCTTATAACCTGTTACTGCTATCTATCTATGAGTAGTAAAATAATATTGTTTTTATCCAGGTGGCAGAAAGGGTGACACAGCTGCAGGAGGCCCTTCTGCATTGTGGGAAGTTCCAAGATGCTTTGGAACCTCTGCTTAGCTGGCTCACTGACACAGAAGACCTGATTGCCAACCAGAAACCACCATCTGCAGAATACAAAGTGGTGAAAGCTCAAATCCAAGAGCAAAAGGTACAATTCAAAACACTGTGAAGTTCACATACCTAAAACAAACTGTATGAGTTTGACTCTCATATGCACAGAAAAAAATTAAATGGTACCCTCTGGTAGTATTATTTTAGAGGGCCTGATTTGGCAGCAGAACGCAGAACAATGCATAGATAAATGTGTTTATTAAGAGTACCTACTAACAAGAAATGTGATGTCACATTTTCACATTTTACTTTCCATTTTGTAGCTTCTGCAGCATCTTTTAGAAGACAGAAGGGCTACTGTGGACATGATTCAGGCTGAAGGGGCAAGGATAGCAGAGGGAGCTGATCCTGCTGACAAGGAAAAGATAAGCCGCCAGCTAGAAACACTCAAGGAGAGATGGTCTTCCCTGCTGCAAAAGGCACACACAAGGTATATCTATAGCCACTTTGCAAAGTTGCTCAGTAGGCTTGCAGATTCTTCTCTCTCTCTCTCTCTCTCTCTCTCTCTCTCTCTCTCTCTCCCCTCATATTATGAGATGTACCTGCTATATAACTAAGTAAAGTATAAAATTCTTTCTTCCAGCCCCATTTTTCTTTTATATGGTTTCTACAAAATTATAGTTTGTCTTCTCTCAGTCATTTCAGTTTTCATGACCATGTACTGTATGTGGAAAGGTAGGCCACGGTATATTGCATATTGTTGATGTTGGAATAAATGGTGTCCACCATGTCTAGCCTTTTTATTATTACATGTTTCCTATTACTGTCTCCTTGATGACTGATTTAAAATTAACAAAAAAAGTTAGGCCATAGTGAGATCAAAGGCTGAGTTTTGCTATCTCAGCATGATAAGTTCTTCATTTGAGGATGTATAATCTTTTTGCCATTAATTGAAATTACAAGTTGATGGACAATGAACAAACATGCCTCTATGACTATTTGAGGTAAAACGCCTTGAGAAATAGGAGCAAGGTCTGGTGTAGGAACTATGTGCATTGATTTGTACATACATTCAGGGAATTTATCAAAACTGGAGCAGACAAAATCTGGAGCAGCTGTGCATGGCAACCAATCAGCTTCTCTGTTCTCCAGATTCGTTCTGTTCCAGTTTTGATAAATTCCCCCCCCCCCCAGTATGTTCAAATGACTATTACACTTTTCGAAATGTAAAATTGTGATGGAGGTGTGGCTTTTTGTTTGAACTTAATCTCTAGCCATCATAGTTTTATCATCTGTTAAAGCTGCCAGTAGACCTGTTATGTCTCCACTTCCTGTAACAGGATGATGGCTCTGTTCGTTCTGCAGTGAATCACATAGAAGGATTTTTTTTTTCTTTCAAAAAACATCTAAAGCATATGAATGGAAGCTGACTATTGTAAGTATCCCCAGCAGTGTTATATGGTTTGTCCCAACCACTTTAATTGCCATTTTTGCAGTGGCAGGTTCAACCGGTAATAATATGTTTCTGGGGGAGAAAAATTATATTGTTAATTCTGTTGACAGACTTCATCATTTCTGATTTGCCCATAGTTCCACTTCTAAGCAGTGAGAGTTATCAATGTGACTGTTGAAGTATTGCAAAACTGCAAAAAAGGATGACCACCCAGGCTGCATGCCTGGATAAGAATCTCAGTACACATTTTCTATAAAAAGGGGTTAGTAGACTTTCTACAGTGATGAGTGATAGCCGCAGACCAGCAGCTTTTAATACATGCCAAAAAGATTTTTTTCAAATAAAAATAATAATAATATTTTGCCGAGTTGACTTTAAATCTATAAAAGTGACATAAACAGAAGCAAGAATCCAAACACTGTCCTCCTTAACTAACTGTTTGATTGGGTATAAATACTAAACTATACTTCTTGAAAATGACTGCTATGTAATCTGTTTAATGACTGAAACAACTTGATGACATGCTCGGTTTTTTTTTATTACATATCATTAAAAAAAATTGCCTTTCATAGAAATGACTGTATAAATGTATTATGGTCCCCCTACAGGCAGAAACAACTTGATGACATATTGGTTTTAGCCAAACAATTTCATGAGACGACTGAGCCTATATTTGACTGGCTCTCTGCCACAGAAAAGAAATTGGCAAATTCTGAGCCAATCGGTACACAGACAGGAAAAATTCAGCAGCAGATCTTGCGTCACAAGGTAGGGGGGCACGTCTGTTAATGGCGGAATACGATGAATAGACCTTTTTTATTTCCATAATACAAATATATCCCCACCTTTTTTTGCTTGACCATTTTATACATTGTTTAATGTATCCATTGTTTTTTTATATTTTCTTATGTATAGTTTCTTTATTTTAAGTTATTATTTGGTTTATGCTAATATTTTTTTTTTCCATTTGTTTTTTCCTTGTTTTCCTTTTGTTATTTTTCCTTTCTGTCATTTTGGTGGGTTCCTTCTGGTTTACTTGCAGAGCCTAGAGGAAGACATAGCAGTCCATGAGCCTGATGTACAACAAGCGGGCAGGCTAGTGGACGCTCTCTCTGCCCTCTGCTGCAAAGCTGAACAGGCTAGGTTGGCACATAGTCTAGACTTCCTGCACTCTCGATACAATGAGGTGCAGGATGTGTGCAGTAGAAAAGGTGCCTTGCTGGGGCAAGCTCTGAGCAATGCTAGGCTTTTCGGAGAGGATGAAGTTGAAGTCCTGAACTGGCTGGCAGAAGTAGAGGACAAACTGAGCTCTGTCTCCGTGAAGGATTACAAGCTGGAGGTCCTGCAGAAACAACACACTGACCAAATGGTACATCATTTTAAGTTTATCTTCTATTTCTTTCTTTGCTGTTTTATGTTCATTCATTTATTATTTTGCACATTTTATTTCACATTTTCCATTTATAATAAGAATTTGTTTGCAAAGGCTATTAACTGGCTGCACTTTCTGTTTGAAAAACAAAAATCAGTTTAATTGTGCTGACCTTGAATTGCCTCTCACTAGACTTTTTTTGGTTTCTCTGGAGCACGTCCATCTGACCTGATATTTCTTACAGCAATTTGATTACATCATGGTTTTAAGCTGCTTTGCTCTTGACAAATTATGAAATAATCTATAAAAATCTTTTTGGCGCCAGCACTGATCCAATTGTTGGGTTAATTAGTCATAATGCAGCTGTACAATAACCAGAAGGTATTAGCTATGCTGGAGAGCCTTGGTACATTAACCAAGGAGTAGACAGGCAGTGCCATGCCAATTTCTGTATGAAGTGATTTTTTTTTCCATTCCAGCTTTTTCATCTCATCCTAATAAGTCTGGCACAAAGCAGTGGCTTTTCATTGTGTAAACATCAGCCAAATATGAGCAATGGGTGTCTCTATATGAAGCTCTTGTGCTGCAGACCTTTACCCTTATTCCATGGCCATCTCTGCAAATTGGTAGCACATAACTGGCATTTAGCTCCCACAACAACATTTATCTGTCAGTTGACACAGTTCCTCTGGTGCCATAATCTTGCATACTATTCCTACTTGGTTTCTTAATCTATTTTACATTCCAGTCCCTAAAGGCCACCAAAAGGTCATGGACTCCATTCTTCAATGCAGTTGCAAAGCTGTGCTGATTGATCATTATTTCACCTTGTGATCAGATCTGTGGCTTGTTCTTGGGACTTGAGGGCTATTGTGGTAAATAAAATATTTTGTGTCACAGTGGTGTGCACCAGTGTACTCTACCTGTAGAGCAGTGGTTCTCAACCTGTGTAACCTCAGGACCCACATTTGTCCTCTGTCATTAAGTCGCAACCTAAGTTGCACTGCAATGGAATGCACGGCAGTGTGGGCTGCTGTGCTGTGACGGAGCTCTATCCATATGTGCATTGCTTGTACAGCTCCCATGCGCGCCTGTAGAGGTGCCGGGAGCCAGAATATGATGTCCCTCCAGTCCACGCACCTCAACAGGACATGCGAGGGAGCAATAAGCAATGCAGGTATGGATTGAGCTCCCTCGCGGTAATACCCCCAGGCCACCCCAAGTTGGCACTCGGTGCTGGGCAGCATATTTTGAATGGCTGCTCAGTGTGAGAATAGACAGTGTTGTGCTAGGGGGAGACTGAGGAGCCTCACACCTAGAAAAGTGGAAGGCATGCAGCGACCCACTGAACATGGGGTCACGACCCACCAGTTGAGAACCAAGGCTGTAGAAGATTGTGAGTAGATTTATACGTAGTCCCAGTCATTCTTGGTGAGTCTGCCAGAAGTTCTTGTTTCCTAATCCACCTGTTTTAAGTTATGTTTCCACACACTCCTTGTGAGGCAGAAAGTGTTGGCTACTGCTCGTGAGTAGTTGGTCATTTCTTTTTTTTTTTTTACAGTACCCTAGTTTTGCAGGATTCTTGAGGGTAGAGGGGGGCCACGTGATAATTTCAGCCAACTTTAACTGGTTTCAGACAGTTTTCTCCAAGACTTTGAGAAATT